TATTTAAAATCTATTTTTAAAAAATTTATTTTCTACCCACCTGCAGGCCTTGGAGGCTGAGATGCAGGGTAGGTGGCGCCGCTGTGAGCAGATCTGTGGTGTGGGTCAGGACCTGGTCAACCAAGGTCACCCGTCAAGGTCAGAGATCGGGTCAAGGATCAAGTCGCTGATGGACAAGTGGAATCAGCTACAGGACGCTGCTGCCTCCAGGAAGACTAGGCTAGAGGATGCTATAGAGGCTCAGCAGGTGAGGGGGGATGGGAAGAAGGGGAGAGGAGGAAGAGGAGGAAGAGGAGGGGAGGGAGGGAGTAAGGGATGGATGGAGGATGCTATAGAGGCTCAACAGGTGAGGGGGGATGGGAGGAAGGGATTGGGAGGAAGAGGAGGGGAGTGAGGGATGGATGGAGGATGCTATAGAGGCTTAACAGGTGAGGGGGGATGGGAGGAAGGGAGTGGGAGGAAGAGGAGGAGGAGTAAGAGGAGTGAATGGATAGAGGGATGGAGGATGCTACAGAGACTCAACAGGGGGGGGGGGGGGGATAGGAGGAAGGGAAGGGGAGTAAGAGGAGGAGAGAGAGGGAGGAAGGGTGGGGAGAGGGATGGAGGGAGGAATGAGGGGATGGAGAATGCTATTGAGGCTCAACAGGTGAGGGGGGAGGAAGGGAAGGGGGAAGGGGAAAGAAGGAGAGAGGATGCTTTAGATGGTGAGAGGGAGTGGGATTGAGGGATAGATGTGATGGAGGATACTATAGAGGCTGAGCAGGTGAGGGAGGATGGGAGGAAGGGGAGAGGAGGAAGAGCAGGGGAGAGAGGGAGGAAGGATGGGGAGAGGGAGGGAGGGAGGAATGAGGGGATGGAGGATGCTATAGAGGCTCAACAGGTGAAGGGGGATGGGAGGAAGGGGAGAGGAGGAAGAGGAAGGGAGAGAGGGAGGGATGGAGGATGCTATAGAGGCTCAATAGGTGAGGGGGGGGGGATTGGAGGAAGGGAAGGGAAGTAAGAGGATGGGAGAGAGGGAGGAAGGGTGGGGAGAGGAAGAAGGAGAGAATAATGGGGGATGGAAGTTGTTATCGATGCTCAACAAGTGAGGGGGGAGGGAGTGGGAGGGAGGGAGGGATGAGGGGATGGAAGAAGCAATATAGGCTGAGCAGGTTATGGGGAGAGGGAGTGATGATAGGGAGGGAGGAATGAGGTGAGAAAGGATGTTATAGGAGGAGGAGGAGGAGCACGAGTGGGAGTAGGGGGATGGGGAGCTGTAGGAATAGAAGGAGAGGGAACAAGAGGAAGAGGTGGAGGAGAGGGGCAGGGGTGTTTTACTTAAATCAACTAAAAAAAACAGCTGTAGTTTACTACCCTGCTTGTTTTAACAAGCCAAGAAGACCATAGTATAATAATTATTTTATTCTTATAACTTACCACCAGTCTTGCACCAAACTAGGCCACACTAAGAAGCCATTGCTGAGCGCGTATGTGCCTAATTAACTTCATTTGCTGACACCTGTACTGCCAAAAGTTACTCTCTTTACAGCTGCTTGTTATGCCACGAGTTCGGTTTTCTCGAGAGGAAAGTCTATAAAAATTATTCTGAGTACCTACCGTTCTCCGCTGGGAAACTGTATCCCACTCTGTCCATGTATTTGTTTGGGTAAATGATTTACGGCGATGGATGAGCGCGCAGGACACATTAAGCATTTTCAGTAAGATTTAGGTAGAAGTTAATTTTAAATTTTGCCCGGGTGGCGGTCTGAGTCTACTTTTATCGATTTTAGGACCACCAAGGGATCTTTAACGTGCCCAACTTGCACATGGGACCTCGAGATTTTTACTCTCTTATCCGAGAAAGCTAGGTTTAGATCTTACCTACCCTAAGATCAGGGGCATGGCTAAAAGACAACAGTAAGAAGGAGCCAAAGAGTAGCAGTAAAAAGGCTGTAGAGAGTCCGGAGCCCAGAGGAGGGGGCAGAAGGTAGAGTCGAAAGCAAACGACAGAACATGGTTAGAGAGCAGGAGAGGAGGTAAAATTTGAAAATTTTGGAGAAGAAAATGTTTCGTTGATGTCAGGTTTCGAACCCGGGACCTATTGAATGAGAGATATATTATGCTGTGACTCTACACGTCAGGGCTAACCTGGATAGGGAGCTCTCGTGGTCTAGAGGTAGCCCTGACATGTATAAGCACAGCAGCTCTAATAATTATTGCCGTCAAGCTGCTCATTTGCTCTAAGCCCAGCACGCAACATTGTTCAGAAGGGAGAGAAAAAACTGTTTTCTTCTTTTAGACAAGTCGCTGCCTCGGGAAATATAAAGTTCTATGTCACATTTTTGGTCATTCTGAGTTACTAAAACCATTAGATTAGGAACCAAATGTTCTATCTGCTCTAACAATATCATAAGATTTTTCGGAGTCGTTATCAAGATATTCAAAGAATTGCATTTGAGATAGCGGGCCGCTTGTGTATCGATACCATCATCAATACCATCACGACGAGGTATTCGCTTAGGGCAGTCGCTGTTCCCCGGACAAATTTTTTCCTGTTTTTAAAAATAAAGTCGTTGTTCCACGGTGCTCCTTGATAATATTATTGTGAACCTTGTGAACTCAAAATTTTGAACGTCAAATTTGTCAAAACTGGGTACGCAGCTGACAGCACTTTGTAATCCTTGGGTAGCGAAGTGTATGAACATTACGTGTCTTTTCGTGCTTTTTAAAAATATTTAGAATTTGATAAATTATTTCTTTAACTCATGCAAACTATAGCACAGATGATTGCACTCAAAAGATTATAAAACTTCAATATGAAAAAAAAACAACTTAAAAAAATATTGGGCTTAGTACATCTGAACAGCTGGCCAACGAAATGGTCTCAACTATGTTAACGGGATGTAAAACAATCACGATTAATGCAGTCCACCCCGCTTGTGTTGAACTCGTTTCAGTTGATCTTCGGTTAAGTTTATCTTTTTCTCGGGTTCCAGCACATGATCTCCTTCTTTCCAGTTCCCAACGGTTACGTTGATCTTCAGATGAATTTGCCTATTTTTTACCCCCCCCCCCCGAACAAAATCAATTCGTCCGTAGTCGACTGTATTTTACTGTCAACATTATGTGAATGAGGCTTTAGCTAGTTTCTTCCTTTTGTTTTTCTTCGGGATTTTCGATCACAGTTGCTCTTCTTGGCCCGACTAGACAAATAATAAGTCGTTCATATCGTGAAGCCTTGCTATATATAATATTACATACTTCTCGGGATAGATAAACACCAGTGCAAGAAAGAAACCAAGATGAGAAGATAAGATAAGATATACTGTATTGACCCAAGGAGGAAATTTTTAGGTGAATATACCAGAACATCAACAGACAAAGATACAGCATCAACACAGAAATGGACTCATTACACTCATGCCGAATGATTCATATACAACGATGCTCCAAAGCTTAGTATGTAAAATTAATTGCTCTTCAAGACCATGTTAAATCAACATTCCTGTGTACGGGACCAGCCTCACACTTGACTTTCAATTCCCCAGGACCGGAGCTGCCGCCCTCTTTCTGACAACGCGAGACGTGATTCACACTTATATTAATGAATAAGTCAGCCCCTAGTAAAGTTATAAACATATAAACTTCATCAAACTGTTAAGGATGTGTTTCCCTCTGCTAAAACATTTTTTCATTGAAAAAACAAACAAACGTTTTGATTCGAGTCAATTATGTGTAATCAGTTATGCAATAGTAAGCTTTTTCCCCACAGTCAGTTGCTAAAGGTATCAATTACTAACAGTCACTGAAACATCTATAATTCAACCAGTCAATTTGCGTCGATGACAACGACTACGCTGTTGCTTCCAGTCAGATTGGTGTTTTCAGAGAGCGATTCACTGCACTCTTTTAGACTCACCCGACACAGTTTAGCTTGACCCTGCTCTGAAGCAAATGCTACTGGGTTAATTTTTTCCAACCGAATAAAAAGATTGAGTAAAATTGCCCTCAGAGGGACTAAGAAACCAGAGCAAATTTCTCTGATTTGAACCTCAGTCATGACGAAAAGCTGGTAGCGAGCAGCGCCATACTGGCTAAAATGAGATTCATTCAGTTGTTTTATTTCGCTGGTTTTATTTTATTATTTTTGTCTTAGTTTTTTTCGGGGGGTGGGGTTGGGTGGGGGGGGGGGGTTACCTGCTGTGGGCTGGAAGCAACAGCGTAGTCGTTGTCATCGACGCAAATTGACTGGTTGAATTATAGATGTTTCAGTGACTGCAATATTAAAGGCTGTCCTCTGTTACTCATTATTCCACCCACTTCAAAGTAGGGCCAAAATACAATTAAGGTATTGGATTTTGTGTTGAAAGAGGGGTCTGCCAGGTAAGAGAAAGAGAGAGAGAGAGAGAGAGAGAGAGA